AGGGAGGGAGGGAGGACTGGGAGGGGAAGAGGGAAGGAGGGAGGAAGGGAGGGCTGGAATAGTGGAAGAGGGAAGAGTGGGGTATCTTCCTGTCCCAATTTCCAAATAATCTGAGAGGCCATCTGGGCTGAATTCAGGAGGCTTCTTTGCAAATGAACCATGAGAGAACTAGGTTGTGTTCTCAGAAAAGCTAACACATCCCAAAGCAAGTCATTGATAAAGTTTCAGGGAAAACTCCATTTGGAGAGATGCCCAAAGGGCATGTGTTTCTGTACAGCCAGAAGCCTGACTTGTTTATGCTAAGTTGTAGAAGTTAGCAAAATAGATTCAAAACAGACTTCTTCAGATGCTGTGAATCTGTGAATGGCTTCATTTCCATTCCTTTAATTCCACCAGGAGCTATAATTTCTAAATTTTCCTTCAGGAAAAAAAATCATTTAGCTCAGAAATAATGCTTTCTATATAAAACTGTAGCTGTTTCAGAGCTTATTTCTTTGATTTTTTTCCTTCCAAGAAAACCATAATACAGAGAGTCTTTCATCTTAATAAAGCCAGGCATGGGAAGTTTCTCTCTAAGCACCAAGGCAGACAACAAATTCACTCAATAAAAATTGACCAATTAAGTACCAGCCTGGCCCTTGGCATATGGAACAAATAAGTAACTCTACCCTCCCTGAATGCATATGACTGAAATGAAGGAGAAAAACCAAGTCCCACCCTGTGTGGGCTTTGGGATCTGGGCCAAGATCAGAGAGGAAGTAGAATATTCCTTGGGTCACAAACACAGGAGGACATAGAGGAACAGAGAAAGCAAGAGTAGGCATACCAGGTGGAAGAGTGACCTGGATAAAGATGGAAAACTGGGCTCATAAACCCAAAGATGAATGAGAAAGTTGGAATAGGACCAGTAGCCAGAGTTCAAGTGTCTAAAAAAAAAATAGATTTAATGCATGCTAATAAGAAGCCTAAGATTTCTGAGCTAGAAATGAATAGTAAGTACAGGTACCAGTGGCTCCTACCTGTAATCCTGGCTACTTGGGAAGCTGAGGTCTAAGGATCCCAGTTCAAAGCCAGCCCAGACAGAAAAGTCTATGAGCCTCTTTTTTTTTGTCTTTTCTTTTTTGGTACTGGGGATCGAACCCAGGACGTTGCAGTTGCTAGCCAAGCGCTTTGCCACTGAGCTACATCCCAGCCCTATGAGTCTCTTATCTCTAATTAAACACCAAGCTCTGATAGTGGAGCTATGGCTCAAGCAGGTAGAGCTCCAGCCTTGAACAAAAAAACAAAGGGAAAAATGCCACAGCCCTAAGTTCAAGCCCCAGCACCAACATAAATAAACCAACAGCATTGCTTGATTTTCTGATTTGGGGAGGATATGAATGCACTTCCCTACCACCACCGCTTGATCAAATGGCAGCTTCAATCTCCTTTCATTGGCACCATGATTCAGCCAAAGACAACATGAAAAACCTGAGCAACAGTAACATACACCTTACAGTAAGCTTTGAATTAACCTTTTCCTAAAGCACTTTTTCTTGGCCTCTGGGTATTACTTCTGTGGTTCCTAGCCTATGCTTTCTCAATATCCTTCCTCTTTTCCTACTTAAGCTTCTAGATTCTTCTGACTCCAAATAAAAAAGGTTCTTTTTCTCCCTTCCTTTGTAATTGATCACCTGTTAACCTGCAATTTGACACACTTCTACCAGGGAATGGTACACCATTAACGCAGACCCAGAAATAAAGCATCCCTTGGATTGCTTTCAGGACAGCATTTACCACTGGGCCCTACCCTAGCTTCCCCCACATACACCAAGCTATGGAGATGCTCAGCTCCCTTGTATAAATCGTGCGATATTTGCATATAATCTGCATCCACCCTTCCAGATACTTTAAATCATCTCTATAGATTTTGTATACTATTCAATACAATGTATATGCTGTGTAAATAGCTGTGATACTGTATTATTTTGGAATTCATGACAAACATATATTCATGTTCTTCTCCAGTGCATTTTTCCTAGTATTTTCAATCCACAGTTGGTTGAATTTTTAAATGCAGAAACTGGCTTTCCAGGGTCAGCTGTATTTGTACAATGTCAGAGCAAAAACACAAACATCTACTCTAAGGGAACGAAGATTACAGTTTTATCTTTTTCTGTATTTGGGTATGCTTTTCCTCTACTTGCAAAAGTGTATTTATTTGATAATCAGAAAATAAGTTAAAAATATTTTTAAGGTTCTTAAAATAGTATCTGCCACGTGGAGGAAGTTCTCAATAAAAAGCTATAATGTAGCCATGCCTGTGGCTCACACCTGCAATACTAGCTACTCAGGAGGCTGAGATCTGAGGATCACAGTTTAAAGCCATCGTGGGCAAGAAAATCCATGAGAAAAGAAAATCCATGAGATTCTTATCTCCAATTAACCACTAGAAAACCAGAAGTGGCGCTGGGGCTCACAGTGGTAGTGTGCTAGCCTTGAGCAAAAGAACTCAGGGACAGAGCCTGAGTTCAAGCTCCACGACCAAGAAAAAGGAAAAAAATGAGGCTGTGGTATATCTCTGGGGACAGAAATTTAGTGTCTAGGAGACAGCACAAGGGATGAAAGGACAGTGAGAAAGAAAAGTCAATACAAACTCCCGACCTATGATAGGTCCCTAAGTGACCTGGGTCATCCAAACTAGAAAGAAGGGACTTGAAGATTTGAGCTTCTATTTAAATTTCACTAGGTCATCTTATTTCCTAAGTTATGGGATCCTCTGGAGGTACCACGGGGAAAGAAAAAGCCTTGACAGGATATATTAGAGGACAATGGGAGTTTAAACCAGTCCAAAAAATGATTATACAATTATAGAGCTCATAGGACTGCATGTATATACGTGCATTTTACCTAACTGTGCTATACAGCTTCACCTCAAACTTACAATGGGATCACATCCCAATAAATGCACTGTAAGTTGAAAATAGTCTAAGTCAAAAGGGCATCTAATACATCTCTCAAACAGCATAGCCTAGTGCATCCCACTTTAAATATGACTGCATCAGACTATAGTCAGGAAGAATTATTTATACAAAGACTTTGGACCATCCTGTGTAATTTATGGAAAATATGGTGAGATATGAAACACAAAATGTCATAACAAACCATGCTGGCAGCTCAGTACACTGAGTTGCTTGTTTGCCCTCAGGATGGCATCTCACCATAACTGACCAGGAACTGTAACGCACTGCCACCAGCTGGCATTGCAAAAGCCTGTCACACCAAATGTCACTAGCCAAGGGAAGGATCAAAATTCAAAGTATGGTTCCTGCTGAATGTGTTTCCACCAAATGCATATGGCTTACTGAATCATCTTAA